GGGAGAGAGAGAGGTGGGGGAGAGAAGAGAAAGAGGGAGGGGATAGAGGAGAGAGAGTGGTGGGAGATATAGAGAGGTGGGGAGATAGGAGGGGAAGAGAGAGAGGGGGGAAAAGAGAGAGGGAGGGGGGAGAAGAGAGAGGGAGGTGGGGGTGCGATTGAGGCAGGTGTAGATTAGAGTAACATTACCAAGCTGAAAATCAGACTTCAGTGACAGTGTGGATATCTGCTCAGATACTGAGCTGGGGATCAAATACGACACCAAGGCTGCAAATAGCTCAAATGAACCAAAGGCAGTTTCCAGGAATAGAAACCACGTAGACAACTGAAATTTGCAACGTTTGCAGAGAAGGAGCAGGTCATAGCTTTGATCTTGCCAATATTTAATTGCAGAAAATTTCTGTTTGCCCAATATTGGAAATCAGATAAGCAGGTCTGGCAAATCAGCCAAGAGAGGAATTGAAATGGGCGGTGGCTAGATATAGCCAGATGTTGTTGGCATTGTTCGGGGAGCTGCTACAGAGCTCCCAGATGATCTCATTGAGGAGCACGTAGGCAAGAAACAGAGAGGAACAATGAGAGATCCTCGGGGAGCAGGGATCACAAGGTAGCTGATCATCTGGCTGTGATTGCAGAAATAAGAATGTAACCAGGCAAGAGCTGCTCCACCCAGCTGAGGCTAACTAGATTTGTCTGTGAAAGAACCAGCATGCACCAGATGGACCAAATAGCCTCCATCAATGCTGTATTCTTCTTTAATCCCATGAGAATGGAGGAGTGTGGTGTGGTTAACAATATTCGAGGCTGCAAACAGAGCAAAAGAGAGGGAGACGGAGAGAGACACAGAGAGAGAGACAGACAGAGAGGGAGAGACAGACGGACAGAGAGAGGGACAGACAGACAGAGAGAGAGAGGGACAGACAGACAGAGAGAGTTATCATGATCCTGCAGGGTGTCAAGTGTGAAACTGGCAAAGTGCTGTTTGGTACTTGCCTGGAAAACAAACTGGATTCAAAAGATTTTGGGAAAGGTAGGTTTGGATTTGAAAGGCAGATTTGGATTTGAAAGGCAAGGATGTGTTAAAGGGCAGGTGCAATTTGAAGGTTTTCAATGTGTCACCTGTCTGGCCCGTTATCCTGGTGCCACTGCCTCCTCACTCCATTCCAGAAGGGGGTGGGAATAGTGGGGAGGAGGTGGGGGTCGGGAAGGAGTTGAGGGGGGTTGGGGGATGGTGAAGGAGGATGAGGGGTTGTAGTGGTCTCTGCTTGACCCTAGACACTGTGGAACTGCCTTACCTTCTCCAGGAGCTGCCTCAGTTGTTTGGTGCGGGCATCACGTGAGCAGAGAGTTTGCTGGGGTGCCACCACAGTGCAGATACACCTGCCCTCACTGTCTGGGGCAGAGCTGAATACACGCCAACCATCTTCAGCATTGTCTGGTAATACCTGGAGCAGGACAGCGAGAAAAAGAGAATGACCAAACAAATCAGAGCGAATGACACAAAGCCAGCAACAAACAGAGTCAGACACCCCCTGGAGACTGGATTGATTGGACAAAACCACTCAAGGATAATAAAAAGGACAAATGCAGCAGGGGTTCAGAGTGCATTCCAGCCTTACAGAATACACATCCAGACACCATAAAATTGTGTTGGACCATAGACCAGTCACACCATCTGTGTCTGGCTGCTGTTTTTAGCCTGTGCATGGGAATCTGTGCTGCCTGCCCCCTTAATGTTTCTCAGACCTCAAACATCCACCGCCTGGACCATGCCTGTAGCAGCACCTAATAATCCATAGACAGTTTCCAGAGTTACCTCACACTGTCCCCTGACTTACCCACCTGTCCACAGTCTACAAACCTACTGTTCAATTGTTGATGAGAGCTCCTCTGTTCAATAGATAGCATTTCCCAAGAATGCACCAGAGCTAACCATCCCAAGCCTCTCTGTAGTTCGCTACGGGTTGAACACTTCAGAATTAAAGTCAAAAATAAATGATCTTTCCCACCCTTGCCTAACCATTCTGGATGCTTTAAATGTCAAGACATCAATTCCATTTGCACGGTTTCTCTGTCAAATCATCTGATTGCACCAATCATCCACTGAAAAAGCCAAATATTTAATTATTAATAATTTAAAAATCGATATTTAAACTACACAGGAGCAAATTTAATAAATTGTTCTTTGCATCTTTACCCAATTTAACTCACCCTGTTGAATTTTAGAATGTCATCTGCAGCCTCACATGGAAATATGAAATATAATAAAGAACAGCCAACATGGATTTCCAAAAGAAGTCTTGTCTGACCAACTTTATTGAATTCCTTCAAGAAGTGGGAATGAAACTTGATAAGAGTAAGGTAAGAGATGGAATGTACCTAGATTTCTAAAGAGCTTTCAGTAAGATGTCATGTATCAGATGAAGAGATAAACTCAGAGCAAGCAATGTCAGGGACAAATAGTAGAATGGCTGTCTAGCTGACTGAAGATAGCAACCAGAGCAGAGTAAAGAATACCAAATACCAGCAGAAATTGCTGGAGAAAGTCAGTAAGTTTCGCAGCATCTGCACACAGAGAATATAGTTAACTCTGTGAAGGAAGAAACAGGGTTAACATTTCGGGTCCGGTAACCCTTCCTTGGAGCCAGACCTGAAACGTTTACTCTGTTTTTTCCTTCATAGATGCTGCCAGACCTGCTGAGCTTTTCCAGCAAATTTGTTTTTGTTCCTGATTTACAGCATCTGCAGTTCTTTCGGTTTTTATAGAGTTAACTGTTTTCCCTCCACAGATACTGACAGACCTGCTGAGTTTCTCTAGCAGTTCCTGTTTTTGTTTGTTTCAGATCTCTAGCATCCATTGTTCTTTGTTTTGGTTCAAGGGTAAAGGACAGTCAGTTTGAGTGGCAGAGAGTGGGAAATAGGTTTTCAAATGGATCTGTGCTAGCATCACTGTTTTCAGAGTCGCTTGGAATCCAAAACAGAATTAATACACAGACAAAACTAAATGGTGGGGCTGGAGTCAGGGATGTCTTCTTCAATTATAAGAAAAGGTGAATACAGAGTGGATATATAACTGGCAAATTAATGTCAACAAAGGTAGCTGTGAAGCATCACATTTTAGTTAAAATAAACAGTCACATATCACTTGCAGAATAACAATTCAAATGGATTTGAGGATCAGAGGGGGGTCTGGGGAGACAGAGACAAATCACTAAAAAGAATGACACCGAGTAAAACCACAGAGAAGTACTCACTAGAATTTATTTGGACACAGATAGAATTAAAAAGTGGAAGAGCTTCATTAAAATGATATTGAACCTTGGTTAGACCACACTTGGAATACCATGCACAGGTCTGATTGCTGTTTCTCCTCTGCCTATACCACAAATACAAGTTCCAAGGACAAATCTAAAAATGGACTGGTTACACCATAGTCCCTAACAAATCCAATCAGGAATTCAGGAGGAATTTCATCACCCAGAGAGCAGCAGGAATGTGGAACTCGCTCCCATAGGGAATGGTGAAGGTGAATTGTATAAATTATTTTTAAGGGTAGGCTGGATAAACACGAAGGAAAAAGGAATAGAAGGAGAGGCTGATAGACTGAAATGAATAGGGGGTATGGGAGGATTGAGTGCCAGAATGGCCTGTTTCTGTTAAGTATAATTTACATGATTCTTTCACACTGTAACACACACTGTACTCCTCCACCCCTCAGCCTCCCCCATGCTCTGCCTTATGGCAAAAATCACAAACTGCTGATTCGTTCAAGAGCAACAGGGCTAGCTCCAGAAAGACATCAACACTACCATTTAGTGCCTTATACTGAAGCCAGCATTGGAATTGATTTCATGAAACAAATGTCTCTGTCAGATTCGAAGGTTAAAAGTGGAATTGATAACTGGGGTCTGATTTACAAACAGAGCACAAGGCCAGACCCGACCCAATTGATGCTCCCACAGAAAACACTCCACCTACAGATGGCCAGCAGCAGAACACAATCTCTCTTTGCCAATCTCCCCACCCTCACCCCCACTCTCACCCTCACCTCCACCACATCACTCACACTGACACCCTCCATCCCTCATGCTGACCACATCCCAGATATTGATTGCCTCCCTCATCCTCACCCACTCCCTCATCCTTATCCCCTCCCAAACACTGATCCTCTCCCTCAGCCCTTCCCTCATCCTAACCTGGTCCCTCACCCATTCCCCTCCCACACACCAACCCCTCCCATATCACTCAGTGACCCCTCCCAACCACCTCCACCCCAACATTATTCCACTTACTGTCATTATGACAGTCTCCACGCCCTGCTCCCAGTCTCAATCCCAACTACCCTTCACTCCTTTGCCCTGTTCCCTGCCCCCTTACCCCAGAATCCCCTTTCGGTGCACCCCAACTCCTATTACACTCACTGATTAACCCAACCCTTACCCTTCTCTTACCCATTATCACTCTTACCCCATTACCTTTCTGTTACTCCCAAGACCCCCAACCCTGACATCCCCAACTCGCTCACTCCCGTTACCCACCACACATTACCCTTCTGTTAGACCCATTCCCTTACACACCCCTGTTACTCACTCACCTGTTTCCACATACACACCTCAAGCACCCCCCAAGTTAAAGCCTCAACCCCATGACCCCCTCAACCCCAGTAAAACCCTCACCCCCCAGTTACCCCGTCACCGTCCAGTTAGTCACCTTACCCCAGTGCTGCGGTCCAGGCTCCCGGCGCTAGCAGCGCTTAGCCTGGTGGCGTTGAGGCCAACCAGAGAGGGTAGGGTCTGGGACATCCAGTTGCTGATCATAGCCATAGTGCTCAGGACGATTCCGATCTTCAGCAAAGGCACCGTCATTGCGGGGGCTCTGCGGATCTTTCATAGCGGGGAAAGGCAGCAGGAAACCGGCATCACCGGGGCGGGGGGCACGGCCGCCACTGGCACCGGGACATGCTGCAGCAGCGACAAGGTGCACCGGGCTAACCGAACCAGAACTGCTGCCTTCACCGCCTCCTGCATCCGACTGACTGCGGCCCGGGAGCGGCGGCAGAGACAGCCCCGCCCCCAACACTGGCCCCGCCCACCGACTGCAGCTCCGTCCAATCACCACGATCCCTATCTCCAGTCCCGCCCATGATCACAGCCACAACGAACACAGGGCATCTCTCATATCACAGTCAGAAACTCAGGGGCAGTGTATGTGGGACTGTACCCCAGTGAGAGTCAGTGTGTGTGGGACTGTACCCCAGTGAGAGTCAGTGTGTGTGGGACTGTACCCCAGTGAGAGTCGGTGTGTGTGGGACTGTACCCCAGTGAGAGTCAGTGCGTGTGGGACAGTACCCCAGTGAGAGTCAGTGTGTGTGGGAGCCGTACCCCGGAGAGGGTCAGCTTGGTTCAACAAAGTGTAAAATGAAATCTGCATTTGCTGTACGATTCAGAATCTGGAAAGATTTATTGCTTCAGCATCTTAGCATTCAGTGAATGCTCAAGACATGGTATTGCCATGGAAACTGGGCATGGTCGGTTTGTCAGAGCATGTTGCAGCCATCTCTCGGACTTACTGCAGCAGCAAGCCGCCACCAGTAGCTCCCTCAGCTGGGGAGCAAAGTCAGCACCATGGAAAGCAGCAAGGTAGCAGCTCCGCCATAGAACACGTAGAGGGAACTTCACAGCTCAGGGCCTTGTATGTTCGAAGGCAAGGAATGGGAAAGAAAAGCACAAACTAAACTCCGACAGTGTGGCTCTCCCTGATTACTGACCTCCAACATGGCCACACTCCCTCAGCATTGTCCCTCCGACAATGATGGACTCCCTCATTCCTGTGAATGTTTTGAGATATATACTGATTTATCGTGCTAAATCAATGCACAATTTTTCTCTGCACATCTGCAGGTGATTAGGTTTGTCAGTGAGATGGTACTGAAGTCAATGCTGCGATTTGTTACACTGTCCTCCCTAGGACACTAGTTATTTGAGGACCTGATGGAGGAGACACCTCTCAGCCACCCGGATGTAGTGGCTACTTGGTCACAGTTGGTTTGCTGGTCATGACTGAATGCTGGTAGAATTAACTTCAAAAAAGACACTAACATTTGTTGAATCCCACTGAATCCAGAAAGTGCAGCAACAGGCATTGAATTAATCTATATCTCTTATATGTTGCTAATACATGACCCAAGTCTCACTGCAGAACAGGAGCATGGTGATAGCACTTGCTCTGTTGCACAGTTGTTGACCTGTGTAGGTCTTTGTTGTCAAACACTTACTGACGTAGTCTGTCAAAGGCTGAGCTGGTGTAACTGATCCACTGTTGATTCTTGTTGTCAATGGTGACCTCCTTGAGGAGTGGCTTCCAAAACCTTGGAAATACTCAGTAGATTCTCCTTCAATCTTTACATGAGGTGGAATATTTGACTGACCAGGTGTGGGTTGAAATGGGTTTTGTTTTAAACATATTCAAGGGCAGAACAAATCTCTTGTATAAGGAAGTGAAGAGATAGAGAGTAGCTTGAAAATCTAGTACAGAATAGGCGCCAACACTGACATCATCCATGTTCTGTAGATCGTGTATGTCTACAGTGGTCAGCTGAGTTTTAGTGGAGAGGGAACTGAATTCAAGAGATTCCCATCCAGGTGATACTTCAAACACAGAGTAGAGAGCAAATAAAGTTTGTGGTGAATGATTGCTGTCAGTTGGGCATAGGAGTAGGAAGGGTTTAGAGGAATATGGGCGAACTGCTGGCACGTGCGACCACATTAAGTTAGGATATCAAGCCAGCATTAATGAGTTGGACCAAAAGGTCTGTTCCCATGCTGTACATCCCTATGACTCTCTGACTAGGCAGACTGTAAACAGTATGAGGCCTACTATATAGCCTCATTCTCACACCAGCCCAGTTTCTGAAGGAGTATTTTTCAGATTTCTCACTCAAGATAATTACAGTCATGTCACCATGAAACGGTTTTGGTGGAGGAGAATGGATAAGAGAAGATAAAGATCTAATGTGCTGTGATAGTGCATGGATTAGATTGTCTTCCCGTACCTTTTTCATTTTGCAGTGTCTGTCACTTTAAGGACGGAGTGGCCTGTCACCTTAAGGAGGAGGTGGACAGTTCCTTTAAGGATTGGGTGGCCTGTCGCTTTAAGGACGGGAGTGGCTGGACACTTTAAGGATGGAGAGGCCTATCACTTTAAGGATGAGCAGCCCGTTGACTTCAAAGGGTGGACTATGTCGCCGCCATGCGGCTGCAGGCGGTGGTACAGCGAACCTCGGACCATTTGATCCGGATTCGAGCCGCAGCTCAAGGAGCAAACCACACGCTGAATAAACACCGAGAAATGTTAACCAGCAGACAATCTCACATGATTGCAAACATGAAGTTTATCTTTCAGCAAACTTTATCTAAAGAAAATTAATGTCTCCCAATATTTACACAAAATAACCTAATCAACGATTTACATCTGCAACCAGTAAAAATCATGGGGTTAAACACAACGAGGCTGTTCGTCAGTATCTTGATCAGGAATATAGAAAGACAAGTTTAAACATTAACCATCGCTAACCATTACTAACACCACTAGCCATCGTTAACCGCTACTAAACATTTATAACCACTGCGCACCCCATCATTAACACTACTAACCAGCACTAGCCATCATTAACCACCACCAACCATTATAAATCATCATTAACATACCAACCACCACTAAGTATCATTAAAACCACCAAACGCCACCATCCATCATCAACCACCACTAACCATCATTAACCACCACCTATCATGAAATCACTAACCACCACTAACCATAATTAACTACCACTAATTATCACTAATCACCAATAACCACCACTAACCACCACTAACCTCGTAGCAGTCAGTTTGCAGCAACAATTAATTAGTTCCAGCAGATTTCAGATCAAACACTGCACAATCTCCCGCTAGAAGCAGAGGCTACTTTACTCTCCACTACCGTCAATGACCCTCTGCTACTCTCTCTACTCTCCTGCCTCTTCTCTACCTGTGACTACATCTGTCTCAGTAACACAGTACTTACATCACAGAAACAGGTCATTCGGCCCATCTTCTTCGTGCTGGTGTTTCAACGTCACATGAAACTCTTTCCACCCACTGTTTACCTCACTCTACCCCCAACCCTTCTAGGCCTTCACCACCCCCACACCTCACCCCTCACCCCTCCCATACGGTTATCCAGCTTCGCCATAAATATACCAACACTATTCCCCACCAACACTCTTGTTGAGTTCCCCACTGGATCTATCCGGGAGTCGGACATAGGCAGCTCCCGGCTCTGGCCTCTCACGGCAACGTTGTCGCTCTCCGTGGTCCTGATCTGCTCCGCTTTTCTATCGTCCTCCGCCTGAGCCTCCAGCTCTGACCCTTTCTGCCACTCATCTTTTCTCTAACTTCTTCACTTCTCTTTCTTCCTCTCTCCGACTTTGTTTCCATCTCCCCCTCTCTCTCATCGCCGTTGTAATTTAACTCCTTATCTTCCCGCCGTTCATTGTCTCTCCCTCACCAGCCCCCACCCCCCTCACTTTTCTTTATTTCTCTCTCTCCTCTCATTCCCTTGCCTCCTCTGGGTTTAAACTGCTTTTAATACGATCGTTTCTGTAATTACTCCTTTCCGAACGAGTTATGATTAAGTTTGCTGCAGTAATTTTTCCACAATCACTTTGCCTCCACAGTCTCACTCTTGTTCCCCCAGGAGGCCATTCTCCGTGGAGGCCGTCCCAGACACAAAGCCGGGGCCAAAAAAGTAGCCCGCAGGCTCTACAACACCGCCCCCCAACCCCCACCCCCACCCCCACCCCCAACGCCCCAACAAAAAGTCGGGAGCCCTCAAACCGGGAGACCAGGCCCTGTTTCATTACCGCCCCCACCTACTCCCCCCCCACCCCCACCCCCACCAATTACCTCCCCCCAGGGTGAGGGTAGACTCAATCAACACCCCTCCGTCATCCCCACCCGGGACCATATCCCCGCCCCCTCCCCGGACCCTCTCCCCTCCACCCCCAGGGCCGGGGGCCGGTACCTGGCTGAGCTGGCTGCTGAGCAGCAGAATCCCGAGGGTGAGGATCCGGACGCGGCCGCGCCCCCTCCTTTGCTCCGGCTCCATCCCTCTCCCGCTCCGCTGCCGGTGTCTCCGCACGGCCCCCGCTCTCTCGGCACGTCGGTCCCGTTCAGGCTCCCGGCCGCAGCCGCATGTCAGCCCCGGGGGCACCGGGAGCCGAGGATCCGGAGCGAATCCCCTCAAGTCGGAGCTGGAGCTGAATCCAGGAGCAGCTACAGGATGTGACATCAATCCGGAGAGAGGGAGGGAAGAGAGAGAAATGGGGATGGAGAGAGGGCACGGCCACAGACAGAAAGAGAGGGAGAGAGAGAATTGAAGAGGCTCAGGGAGTGAAGAGGTTTCCTGTGACTGTCAAGAAGAATACAAAAGCAGATTGCTGTTGGAAAGAGAGGCTTTTGCGTGTCATGGTCAGTGAGTTACAAACAGTTAATATTCAGCTCCAGTAAGGGAATAGGAAAAGCAAATGGAAAGGCTGCAGTAAATGTTTTATCAAGCAGGGGGTGGACTGTTAAACCAGGGAAGTCTTGTTGCAGCTGTACAGGGCATCGCTCAGAGCACACCTGGAATACTGTGCACAGTCTCCAGAACTTTTATTTAAACATTGGAGACATATCAGAGAGGGTTCAACTCGGCTGATTCCTCATGGGGAAGTGTTGTCTGCTGAGGAAAAGTTGAGCAATTTGGCCTTATATTCATTGGAGTTTAGAAGAATAAAGAATTGAAGAATAATAACTGTCTGCCTACTGATAGTCATAAACCCATCTGCTTCACTAATGTCCCTTTAGGGAGGGAGATCTGCCATCCTTACCTGGCCTGGCCCACATGTGATTCCAGACCCATAGCAATGTGGTTGACTCCTGACCACCCTCTGGGCAATAAGGGATGGCCAAAAAATAAATTGCCAGCAATGGCCACAACCCATGAATGATTTTATTCTAACTGAAACATGTTCATATTGAAGCGAGGTGCTGAGAGGTTCAGACAGGGTAACTGCTCAGAGGTTGTTTCCCTTGCGGGGTAATCTAGAATAAGGTTGTGCAGTTTTATAGACAAGGGCCCTCTCTTTAAAGGTGGAGATGAGGAATAATTTCTTCTCTCTGAGGGTCGGGAGTCTGTGGAACCCTCTGGAGTGAGATCAACCACAACAGGTCTAGCAGCATCTGTGAAGAAAAGTCAGACTTAACGTTTCGGGTCCGGTGACCCATTCTCAGAACTGACTCTGAGGAATGGTCACTGGACCCGAAACAAAAACTGATTTTTCTTCACAGATGCTGCCAGAGCTGCTGAGCTTTTCCAGCAACTTCTGTTTTTGTTCCTGATTTACAGCATCCACAGTTCTTTTGGTATTTAATTAGATCAACCATTCCTCTACAATCCTCATATGGAAACTACATGTCAATATTTTTCCAGCTTAAATAAGCAACTTAAAACCCTGTTCTCTGCTTTCTGTTTCCTCACCAGCTTTCTACCTATTGTGTATCTATCCCCTGACTATATATGTTCCAACATTATGTGCCTCTTTTTTTATTTGTTCAGAGGATGTGGGCATCACTGACCAGGCCAACATTTATTGCCCATTCCTAATTACCCAGAGGGCAGTTGTGTCAACTGCATTGTTGCGAGTCTGGATTCACACGTAGGCCAGACCAAGTAAGGATGGCAGATTTCCCTTTGGGTGAACCGGATGGATTTTTCCAACAGTTGACAATGGTTTCATGGTCCTTATTTGACTCTTAATTCCAGATTTTTACTGAATTCAAATTCAACCATCTGCCCTGACAGGATTTGTACCCGGATCCCCAGAACATTACCTGGGTCTCTGTATACATGGTCTAACGATAATACAACTAGACCAACGATCTACCAATATGGAACATTATCAAAGGCCATTTGAAAATCTAAATATATTACACCTGCTGCATTACTTTATCTGCCCTTTCTATTACTTCTTGAAATAATTCATTAAAGTTAATTAATTATGATTTTGCCTGATGACAATATAACAGAAAATGCTGCTGAATAAGAAGTTTAAGAGGGGATTAGAAAAAGAGAAGCAAAGAGAGAATATGAACAGAGACTGGCAGATAACAAGGAAAGGAATCCAAAACTCTTTTAAGTGCCTATAACTGGTAAGAGGACGAGCGGGGCTGATTAGAGATCACAAAGAGATTTACACATGGAGGCGGGTGATAATATTGTGGTATTAAATGAATACTTTGCATCCATCTTTATTGAGCAAGTTGCTACCCAGGTCAGGTTAAAGAGGAGGTATTTCAGTTACCAGAACAGTTTAAAATTGATAAGGAAGTGATATTGGAGAAACTGCCTGTACTTAAAGTTCTCAAGCACTAGGACTGGATGAGATGCATCCAATGTTACTGAGGGAAGTAAGAATGGAAATTGTAGCCATCAATTCTCCAGTCTTCCTTATACTTGGGTAGTGCTGAAGGATTGGAGAATTGCAAATATTACACCTTTGATCAAGAAAGCACAGAAAAATAAGCTCAACAGCCATAAGCCAGTCAGTTCACCCCGGGGCGTGAGGAAGCTTCTAGAAACAATAGTTTGGACCAAATTGATAGCCTCGTGGACATATAGATTTTGTAAAAGATAATCACATTGAACTAACTCACTGGTAGTTTTTTTCTGATGAAGTAACAAAGAGAGTTGATGAAGGTAATGCCGTGGAGGTGGTGTATATGGATTGTCAGAAGGCATTTGAAACAATGTCTCACAACAGACTTGTGAGCAAACTTAGGGTTTGTGGAATAAAAGGGGCAGTAGCAACATCAATACAACATTGGCTGAGTGCCAGGAAACAGAGAGTGATGGTTAATGGATATTGTTCAGATTGCAATAAGATTTGTACTGGATTTTTCCAGGGTCAGTCTTGGGACCCTTGCTTTCTCTGATATATACCAATGATCTGGATCTAGGTGTTCAAAGCAATTTCAAAGTTGGAAAACATTGTAACCTATGAGGAGGGCAGTGTAAAACTTTAAATTGGTGATAGGCTGCAGAAGCGTAATGTGAAGAAATATAAGCTGATGCACTTCAGTACAAAGCACATGGAGGGATAAGATGAAATAAGGGATACAACTCAAAAGGGCATGTGGGAGCAGAAGGACCTGGAGGTATATGTGCATAGATTATTGAGGTTGGCAGGACAGGTGGAGACATAAATAAGGCATACAGTTTCCTCAGTTTTAGTAATAGGAGCATAGAGTCCAAGAGCAAGGAAGTGTTATTAAATTGTATGAACAGCTGGTTCAGCATCAGTTGGAGTATTTTGTCAGTTCTGGGCATCACATTGTAGGATGGATGGGAAGGCATCAAAGAGAATACAGAGAAGATTCCTGAGAATGTTCCAGGGATAAGGAATTTCAGTGATGAGGATGGATTGGAGAAGCTGGGACTGTTCCCCTTGGAGGTGTGAAGACTGAGAGAAGATCTGGACAGGAGACAAAAAGAAAGCTATTCCCATTGGTTAGAAGTTTTGAGAACCAGAACAGAATAGTTGGCCAAAGTAATTTGTTAAAGGATAAGTAAAAAGTGCTAAAATAAAGAATTAGTAAAAGAAGCAAAGTGATATGTGGAAAGATATTTTCACACTCTCAGTGGTTAGGGGCTAGAACGTCCCGTGTGGGAAGTTGGAAAAGGAATGGGTAACTGAGCTTTTCAAAGGGAACTGGGTCATTACCCAAAATGGAGAATTTTACAGAGACAGAGAACAGGCAGGACAGTCGTACAAGGTGCATTTCTCCTTCAGAGGATCAGCATAGACACAGTGGGCTGAATGGCCTCCTTCTGTACTGTAACTCTCTGTGATTCTGATAAGGATTTCAGGGGAAGTTAGGCAGCAAATAAGGGAGAAGGGAATAGCAAATTACAATGGAGTGAGGTGGCTCAGTGGTTAGCACTGCTGCCTCACAGCATCAGAGATCCAGGTTCACTTCCAGCCGCGGGCAACTGTCTGTCGAGTTTGCAAGGTCTCTGTGTGGGTTTCCTCCCACAGTCCAAAGATGTGTAGGTTAGGTGGATTGGCCATGCTAAATTGCCCATAGTATCCAGGGATGTGTAGGTTAGGTGGACTAGCCATGGGTAATACAGGGCTATGGCGATAGAGATAGGGGCTGATTTTGGTGGGATATTCTTCAGAGGGTCAGTGAAAATTCAATGGGCCAAATGATCTCTTTTTGCCCTGTCGGAATTCAATGAAGAGAGATGGAAGGATGCTTGAGTGGAACATAAGTGCTGGCATGCACTGGAGGCTGGAATGGTCTGTAAATCCTATACAATCCAATGTTATATTAGCTGCTCCAGTAAATAAAGAGACAAAGTAAATATTAAATATTTTTGCCATTTTGCTCTCATGGTCTATATGTTTATCAAGTGTATCTCTTTGGGACTCTGTCCCAAACCTGATATCTTTTATTTCTATCTCTGCACTATGTTCATTTTATTTTGTCTTTTCTGTTTGCAGTCTTCCTTATTTTCTTGACATTTTCCCAACCTCTTTGTATTCCCAATCATCATCCTCTAATTTGCTGTTTACCTGAGTGGCTCTTATTCTTTCATTCCAATTTTCCTGCCAGTTTTGTATTCATCTACCATGTGTGATCTGTTCTTGCTTTCCAGTTGGATAGATTTTTCCTGAAACGTTATTGATTGATGTTATAAATGTTTTTCACTACTGTCTTGTTTTATTGTCAGTATTTTCCATTGCTCCATTCTCATTGCCTTAACATAATCTTGTTTCCAAAGTATTCACTTGCCCTTTGATGGGTGGTATTGTCATTCTGAAGCATTGAAACACCCCGCCCTGTTAAGTGAAGAAGATTTTGTTCTTTGGTCCCTGTCTATAGGTAATGCCAATGTCTTCAGACGAGCATTTCATGTCATGACCATAAACAAACCCTTGGATCCCTCAGGCATTCACTCCCCATCACTTGTCATTTCCATCCCTGATTCATCTTTGGGTGTCAGCCTTGAGCTGTTCAAACTTTGCTTCCTTGACTTGTCACCTTCAGTTGTCCTTCCCGGCAGGGAAAGCTGCTCATTTTTCTGCCAGAGTGTGACACATTTCTACATCACTTGTACTGAACCAACCCTAGTGACTATGATGGGAGGGAGGGAGGGAGGGAGAAAATCCACTCATCATGGCCCATGTAGGAACCGACAAGACAAGATCAAAACATAACGAATGTAACTCTTTTATTCGTAAAGAGGAAGGTAGAAAGTAGGAACCTGCAGGTCTGTTAGCTAAACATCTGACAGGGGGAAAACATTAGAAACTATTATTAAAGACATCATAGCAGGGCACTATCGAAAGTTCAAAGTAATCAGGCAGCATCAATGTGGTTAATGAAGGGGAAATCATGTTTGATCAAGTTTTTGGAGGTCTTTAAAGAAAGAACGT